CACAGGCAGGCCCTGCATGACAGACAGAGCCACAGAGAGCCCCCCAGCCGCCTGACAGACTCACAGACGGCACCACCCCATTTGACAGACACATGGACCCCCCTCCCTCTCCTGGACAAACAGACATGCAGACAGCACCAATCCCCTTGACACAGGCACACACCTTCCCCATAACAAAGAGACTGACACACAGACAAACAGCAACTCCCCCCCCACTCCCCCCTTCAGCCCCACAAGGCCTGACAGACAGAGAGGACCAGGGACCCCTGCATCTTGGGATGTGCATTACCAAGTGTTGGCTTTGGGGCCCAGAGGACGCCTGGGTTCTCGGGGGGCGGGAGCAGGGCAGGGTGGGAGCCGGGACACTTGGGTGCTTTCCCCAGCTCTGGGAGGCAAGTGGGGTGTAGGAGCCCAACACTTGGATTCATTTCTGCTTCTTCCCTGTGCAGTCTCATGCCTCAGTTCCCCACCCCCATACACCTCCCCCCCCTCCTCCTTTCTGCTGAGGAGGAGCAGGGGAGCAGCCAGACCCTCCTGGCTAGAGAAGGCACAAGAGGATTAACAAAGGGATCAGCCATGGTAATGCAGCGCCATGCCCCCCTGTACCGCAGCAGACAGAGGGGCTTGTGGGAAGGTAGTGGAGCGGGTCCTGGCCTGGCCTGGAGCTGGGACCTTGGGAGGGAGCAGACTATGCCCTCAACCAGCCTGCAGATGCGGGGGTATGGGGGCAGGTAGGTAGGTAGGGGGTATGTGGGGATAGAAAGACAGACAGATGGATGGAAGGAAGAAGAAAAGGATGGATGGATGGATGGATAAAAGGCAGGCAGGAAAATGGATGGACAGACAGACAGGAGGGGTGCCTGTGGATGGATAGACGGATGGATGGATGAATGAACAGACAGACAGATGGCATGTCTGTGGACAGATAGACAGTCAGATAGGAGGGGTGCCTTTGGATGGGTGGAAAGGAGGGTACCTACAGATCTACAGATGGGAGGGAGAAATTATGTGGAAATGCACGAGTGGAGGTGTTATATGGTGACAGGTGAAAGAAGGGGTGGATGGAAGGAAGGAGGAGCACCATGGAGTCAGAGGGCTGGATAAGGGAAGGGCTACACAGGTGAGAGGAAAAAAGGCCCCAGTGACAGTGGGATGGATAGGTGGAAAGATGCAGATGTTATAAGAACCTGGGTGAATGGGCGGGGCGAGAGGGTTACACAGGGATGGAGGGATACATGGAAAGAGGGATGGAGACATCTTCATCAATGATCTGGATGCATGCATGAAAGGCACACTGGCAAAGTTTGCCAATGACACTAAGCTATGGGGAAGTGCGGCCATGCATCAGGGTAGGCTGATGATCCAAGCGGACCTAGACAGATTAGTTAGATGGGTGGACCAGAACCAAATGCTGTTCAAGACCGAGAAGTGTAAAGTGCTCCATCTAGGGAGGAACAATCCGCAACAAACTTACAGGCTTGGTGATACTACACTAGCTAGCACCACTTCCGAAAGCGACCTGGGGTGTCATAATTGACCATAAAATGAATATGAGCCACCAGTGTGATGCTACAGTTAGCAGAGCAAACAATACACTGACCTGCATCAACCGATGCATCTCAAGCAAAACTAAGGAAGTAATTCTCCCGCTGTACTCGGCATTGGTGAGGCTGCAGCTGGAATACTGCTTCCAGTTCTGGGCGCCACACTTCAAGTTGGATGTGGAGAACCTTGAGAGAGTCTAGAGCAGAGACATGCATATGATTAGGGGCCTGAAGAGCAAGCCATACAAGGAAAGGCTGACAGGTATGGGACTGTTCAGCCTAGAAAAGAGAAGACTTCAGGGGGATTTGGTGGCAGCTTACAAATATATCAGGAGAGAGCATCAGGGACTAGGTGAATAAATATTCACCAAAGCGCACCAGAGGGAAACCAGGAGCAAAGGTCATAAACTCCTAGAAGAAGGTTTCAGACCGGATATAAGGAAAAACTTCTTCACAGTTCATGTGACCAGACTGGAATAGAGTCCCAGCGGGGGTGGTGCAGGCACCTACCCCAGAGATCTTGAAAAGATGACTGGACGCACACCTTGCTGGGGTTATTTGACCCTAGCAGTTTTTCCTGCCCAGAGCAGGGGGGCTGAACCCAATGATCTCACAAGGTCCCTTCCAGCCCTAAACTTCTATCTATTGGATGTGTGTGGGGATGGGTGAATAGATAGGTAGGATGTATGGCATGCCCTTCGCCCAGCCCCCCACATGCCCCGCTTCTGGCCAGGCACTATTGAGTGCCGAGCACTCCCCTCCTCCACCTAATGCAGCCTAATTCTCCCCCTTCCCTACTGCCTCCATGGCCAGGCTTTATGCCCAGCACAGGCCTTTTAGTGTAATTAAGAGACAGCATTTAATTGACATGCAGCCAGCTCTGGGGCGGGGCAGCTGGGAAACATTCAACGGCATATAACACTGCAGTGGGGGGAAGTGGTAGAGGATGATCCCCCAGGGCTAATTTGACCCTGAGCCAGTGGGGTCCCAGGGACCAGGTATGGTTGGGTAGGTCAATCCATTCCTCCATCCATCTATCACAGATTCACAAATTCACACCCCTCTGTCTATCCATCCATATCCCCATCCCTGGACAGGCACTCCCATCTATCTATCTATCTATCTATCTATCTATATTTCTCTCTCTCTCTCTGTCTATCCCCATACACCCTCCTTATCTATTTATCCATCTATCTACCTATTCATCATCACACACCCTGTCTGTCCATCTATCCATCCACCACTCCACCTATCTATCAGCCCTCTATTCATCCATCCATCCACCCCATACATCCTCCCTATTCATCCACCCATCCCCACATACACCTCTATCTATCCATGCAGACATCCATCCCCACATACCCCCTCTACCTATCCATCCATCCCCGTACATCCTACCTATCTATTCACCCATCCCCACACACATCCAATAGACAGATAGACAGACAGACAGACAGACAGACAGACAGACATGGGTGAATAGGTAGACAGACTGAGGACCGATGGATGGATGGATGGATATATATTGATAGGTAGATAGACAGACAGATGTGGGTAGATAGTTAGGTAAGTAGGTAGAGAAATGGGATAGGCAGACGGACACAGACAAATATGGGTAGGGAGGTAGATGAGTGGGTAGATAGAAAGATATGTCTAAGCAAGTATTAGGTAGAGAGAGGCCATACGGGTGCTAGCTGGATGGGGGGTGGGAGCGGGGCATGGATTTTCCTAGCAGTTCCTGGCTGATTCCACAGCCCTGGACAGTTTAATGCGATTGCTTTGAACTGAGAGAGAGCAGCAAACAGCTGGTGTGTGTGTATGTCAGGGGGATCCCAGGCAACCCCAAATCCCATCCCTATCTCCCACAGCCAGAGGACCCCCGCCCCAGATCCCTCTGTGCCTCACCCAGGCAGGCCCAGCCTGCCTTGTCCCTGCCTCCTTTCCTAGCCATTATACCCCCCCCACCATCTCACCCAGACAAAAGCCACCCCCAGGACCTACTTCTCTTTCATCTCCTCTGTCACAGGCCCCCCAGCCCCATGGCAGCACTTAGGAAAGGAAGGGAGGGAGCCAAGGGGGCTTCACCTCACACAGCCCCACAGGAGGGTAGGAACAGAAGCCAGGCGTCCAGGGACCCCCTTCCCTGCCCAAACCCACCAGGCCTCACTCCCCCTCCCAGAGTGGACAGAGAAGCTACGTGGCTGGGCTCTTAACCCTTAGACTCTATTACTATCCAGAGAACCCAGATGTCCGGGCACTCCCCTTTCCCCTCCCCCTGCCCTAACTCACCAGTCCCCACTCCCCTCCCAGAAAACACAGGCGTTCAGGCTCCCAGCTCATCTGCTCTCACACCCCTTGACCCCCAGGCTCTTGGGCTCCTCCTGCTCTAACCTGCCACACCCTACCCAAAGCCAGGGGAAAACCCAGGCATCCAAGCTCTAACACCCCAGACCCCCACCCTAGCATGAAATGAGCTGGTGTGGTCTCAGATGAGACCTCTATTCACAGTATCCCTCACTCTCAACCCACAAGCCCCCCACTTAGCCCTGCAATACCCCTCATTCCCAATCTGCAACTCCCGCACCTTAGTCCAGAGGTACCCCTTACTCCCAACCCACAGCCCCCCTTCCCTGATGGGATGGAACCCAGTAGTCCTTTCCAAGGGACTCCAATCCCTGGGGTTTCTGACTGGCTCAGGATGGAGTGAAGGAAAGAACAGAGAGGCTGACAGGGAGGGAATGGGGTAGAGAAGGGAGGGAGGGAGGGAGGGAGGGATGAAGGGAGCGTGGCAGGCAGTGGAGAGCTGAGTGTCCACCCACCACCACCCCTGCTCAGCTCTTCTCCCGCTCCCAGCACCCGGCTCAGTTTCACCAGGCAGCCAACAGGGACAGACGGAGCCAGGGACGCCCCCAAACGCAGACCCCCGCACTGGGGTCTGGTGGTGGGTGGGTCCCCAGGCCCTGAGAGGCAGGGCTAGGAGAACCCAGGTGTCCAGACACCCCAGAGCAGGCAAGGAGCATCAGCGAACATCACAGCCTTGAGCAGAGAAGGAGCAGGTCAGGAGTGAGGGGCATTGTGGGGTGATGGGGGGGGAGCTAAAAGTCGGGTGTGGCTTGGGGCACCATGCGGCCATTGGGGGACTGCAGATTGGGAGCGAGAGGCATGACAGGGCAATGTGGTATCTACAGGTCAGGAGTGAGGGGCATCATGGGTCTATGGCGGGGCTGCAGATTGGGAGTAAGAGGCACCATTGGGGGTTGCGGGTTAGGAATGAAGGGCACCACAGGGCCATTGGGGGGCTGCAGGTCAGAAGTAAGGGACACCACAAGGATGGGGTGCTGCAGGTTGGGAGTGAGGGACACCACTAGGGTGGGGAGAAACTCTGTATCCCCCTCCCTGATGCCCACCATCTCCCCCCCAGGCTCTGAACTCCGCCATGATCCTGCTGCTGCCCCCCACCCCCTTCCTGCTTTTCCTGCTGTTGCTGCTGTGGGGGTACATGGAGGCCCAGCAGCCCACTCAGCCCCACTCCATCAAGATTGAGGGTGACATCACTCTGGGGGGGCTCTTCCCAGTGCACTCGAGGGGCCCAGCAGGGGTACCCTGTGGGGCAGTGAAGAAAGAGAAGGGCATCCACCGTATGGAAGCCATGCTCTATGCCCTGGACCAAGTCAACAGCGACCCCCAGCTCCTGCCTAACCTCACACTGGGTGCCCGCATCCTTGACACCTGCTCCCGTGACACCTACGCCCTGGAGCAGTCACTGACTTTTGTCCAAGCCCTGATCCAGAAGGACACAACTGAAGTGCGCTGCTCCGATGGGCGCCCGCCCATCCTGCCCCGGCCTGAGCGGGTGGTGGGCGTCATTGGGGCCTCGGCCAGCTCCGTCTCCATCATGGTAGCCAATGTGCTGAGGCTCTTTGCGGTGAGTTGTGGCGGATGGCGGAGTGTAGGCAATGGTACAACCCAACCAATGGTAGGGGCCAGTGAGACCCAACACCCAATTGTCTGAACAAGACATCCAATGGATGGTACCACCCAAGGAGACCCAAATAATTGTATGACCCAATTTCACCTAACAAATGGTACAACCTATTGCTACCCAACCAATGGTAGCATCCAACCAACCATATGACCCAGTGAGACCCAGCCAGTGCTACCATCTAATGCAGGGGTAGGCAAAATGCAGCCTGAGGGCCGGATACAGCCTGCCAGGCCATTCTATCCGGCCCGCGGGGCCCCTAAAAATTTAGAAAATTAATATTTATTTGCCCCTGGCTGTCTGTCATGAGGCCCTCGATGGCTTGCCAAAACTCAGTAAGCGGCCCTCCCCCTGAAATAATTGCCCACCCCTGATTTAATGAGACCAAACCAGTATTACCACCCAATCATTTATATGATCCCATAGTGCTCAAACAATAATTTGATCCAACGACACCCAACCAAAGGTACAATTTAAGCAATGGTATCTCCTAATGAGACCCAATCATTGTTATGGCCCACTGAGACCCAACCAATGGCATGACTCACTGGTACCTAACCAATGGAGAAGCCCCATGGCACTCAACCAATGATATGACCTAATAAGATCGAGCCAAGGATATGACCCAATAATACCCAACTAGTGATATGGCCAGCTGAGCAATGGTATAATTCATTGGTATCCAATGGGGGCTGTGGGGTGAGAGCAGGCGGGTCTGGGAGTAGACACCTGGGTCCTCTGGGAGGGGAGTGGGTCTGGGGTGAGAGCAGAGGGGGCTGGGAGCTGGACGCCTGGTTCCCTCCAGCTCTGGAAAGCACAGTCTAAGATGATCCTTCCAGCTGTTTCTCTGCGGATTCTCTCCCCCACCACAATCCCGCCCCTCCCGTTCCCAGATCACCCCTTTAATCCGTTAATCAAGTGGCTAACGAGGCTGGTGAGATAGTGGGACCCCCTCCCCCCCATCGGGGGGGTGCAGAAAGATGTCATTACCCATGATCCCTTGTGGCATCACTCAAATGGCAAATGCTTCTGCAGATTAGAGGAGATTAAGGGTTGTGCCAGGGGCTGCCCCCTTGATAATCCCCTTCCCCACCTACCCTAGGTCATCAGGGCTATGTACAGCGCCCAGCACCCCCTAATCCTAACCTGGAAGGTCTGTATAGCACCCGGCACCCCCTAATCCCAGCCTGGAGGGTCTGTACAGTGCCCAGCATCCCCCCTCCCCAATCCCAGCCTGTGGGGTCTGTACAGCATTCTTGGGTGCCGTGCTTCAGAGCTGGCTGCATCTATATTGCTGTTATACTCAACCATCTCCCCCCAGCTGCTCCACCCCAAAGCTGGCTGCATCTGTGCCCTTCAACTACTGCAGGGTTGTCAACTAGGGGTACACGTACCCCAAGGGGTACTTGGGAAGGCCCTAAGGGGTACGTGTGGGCGGGGATGGAGCGCCATCACCCACCACCCCATGCCACCATCTCCCAGGAGCAAGGCTGGGGCGGGGCGAGGGCAGCAGCACCCCTCTGTAGGCTGCACAGGCACCACCTGGCCAGTCAGACACAGAGTGGGGGAGGGGGAAGCTTGCATGAGGCAGTAGCCGCTGCCACCATCCACCACCCACCTCTCACGCTGCAACTCAGCATCCGGCCGCGTGACCCCCCCCACACACACACTTATTAAAAAAGGTTGATAATTCCTGACCTACTGTATAATACTCAGTCGTTTTCATTCCCACCAGAGTTGGCTGCACCTCTGCAGCCATTATACTCAGCCAATTTCAACCTGTTCCACCCAAGCTAGCTGCATCTTAATCCTCCCCATACCTGTCCTGTTCCCTACCTGCCCTACCCTAGAGCTGGCTGCATCTCCACCTTCCCTAGGCTGTGTTATCACTCAACCAATCTCAACTTCTTCCACCCCTTAACTGGGCCACATCTCAACCCACTCTATGCTGTGTTATACTCAGCCATTTTCCACCTGTTACACCACAAGAGATGGCTGAATCTCAACCCTCCTCCCCATGCATTATTCTACTCAGTCAATCCCAACTTGTTCTACCCCAGAACTGTCTGCATCTCTGTAGCTGTCACTGTATACTTATCCATTCTCAGCCTGTCCCACCCCAGAGCTGATGGCGTCTGCACCCATCACCTGCTGTGTTATATTAAGTTGTTCCACCCCAGAGCTGGGTGCATCTCTGCAGCTGTTATACTCAGCTGACCTCAACCTCTTCCATCCCACAGCTGGCCTCATCTCAACCCTCCCCAAGCTGTGTTATGCTCAGCTGATCTCAACCTGTTCTACCCCAGAACTGGCTGCATCTCTGTAGCCCTTATACTCACCAATCTCAACCTGTCCCACCCCTGAGCGGCCACATCTCAACCTTTCACATGGTGTGTTATACTCAGCTGGTCTCAACCTGTTCTACCCCAGAGCTGGCCACATCTCTGTAGCCATGATATTCAGCTGTACTCAGTCTCTTCCAACCCAGAGCTGGCCACATTTCAACCTTCTCCATACTGTTATATTCACCTGATCTCAACATGTTCTATCCCAGAGCTGGCCACATCTCTGCAACTGTTATACTCAGCCATTCTCCACCCACTGCACCCCAGAGCTAGCCACATCTCCCTGCTTCTTTTGTCTCCTACCCCCCAGATCCCACAGATCAGCTATGCATCCACAGCGCCGGAGCTGAGCGACAACACACGCTATGAGTACTTCAGCCGCGTGGTGCCCCCAGACTCCTACCAGGCCCAGGCCATGGTGGACATAGTCCAGGCACTGGGCTGGAACTACGTGTCCACACTGGCCTCTGAGGGCAACTATGGTGAGAGTGGGGTCGAGGCCTTTGGGCAGATATCCAGGGAAGCTGGTGAGTAGGGTGCAGTCGAGCAATGGAAAAGGGGCTATGGGTCAGGAGTGACAGGCACTATTCCATGCTCCCCCCACCCCCACCCCCAGGTGGGCTCTGTATCGCCCAGTCCATCAAGATCCCAAGGGAGCCAAAGCCAGGCGAGTTCGACAAGCTCATCAAGCGGCTCATGGAGACTCCCAATGCTCGTGGCATCATTCTCTTCGCTAACGAGGATGACATCAAGTGAGAGACATGGGGTGGGGGTGTCTGGATAGCTCCTAGCACACCCCATCCTGGGAGGGGGGTCTGTGCAGCTCCCAGGACCCCTATACTTTGGCCTGGGGGTCTATATAGCTCCTACCATTTTTTACCCTGGCCTGGGGGTTTGTACAGCACCTGGTGCCCTTGGATCCTGGCCTGGAGGGTGGTGAAGAAGGGGGAGAGGCGGCTGCCCTGACCCTGTCTCTGCCCCCTTGCAGGCGGGTGCTGGAGGCAGCAGCCCAGGCCAACCTGACAGGGCACTTCCTGTGGGTCGGCTCTGACAGCTGGGGGGCCAAGACAGCACCAGTTCTGGGCCACGAGGATGTGGCTGAGGGTGCTGTCACCATTCTGCCCAAGCGCACACCCATTGAAGGTACCAGGAGGTGGGGCTAAGGGGGTGAGGTGCAGCCTGGTGGAGGGGGTGGGGCTTAGGGGAACCAGGGGGCAGGGCCTGGTGGAGAGGGAGGAGCATAGGGGAATGAAGGGACGGGGCTTGGTGAACAGACTTGGGACACCAGGGGGTGGGGCTTGGTGAAGAGGGAGGAGCTTAGGGGAACAAGATGGAGGGGGAGCAGCTTAGGGAGGCAAGGGGGTGGGGCCTGAGGGGAGGAGCCTAGAGGGATCAGAGGGTGGGGTCTCTGATGGAGGGGAAGGGGCATAGGAGTGTCCCCCAGGCCTCACCCCTAAGACTGCCCACTGCCAATGGAGGGCATGGAAGGGATGGAGCCAAGGGGAGTGGGCAGTCCTTAGGGGTAAGGCCTGGGAGTCAGGGCCTGGGGTAGAAGCCAAGAGACAGCCTCTGAGGTAAGGAGGCAGAGCCTGAGTGCTGTAGGACCAGGGGTGGGGCATGATGGGTGGAGCCTGGACTTGAGGGGTGGGGTTCATGGTGCAAGGTCTCTAGGGTCTAGTGGGTGGGGCCTGGGCTTATGGTTCAGAGCTACTAGGGCATTGTGAGTGGGGCCCCTGCCTCTGTGGCGTAGGGGAAGGGGATGAGTGGGGGGGGTAGGCGTGCCTCC